GTGTAAGTTCATTCCTATTTCCTTCACACAGGAAACAGGATGAACTGCAGTCACAAATTCACAGTTCAACAGGAGATGTCAGGATGAGTGACTCAGAGCAACATAAAATTCCTGTGTAATCTGGTTACTTTAATAATGCCAGTTACACTGGTTAAGCATTTTCTTAATGGTTTCTCTCATTCTCCACCAAGTTTTAGAAATGGTGTTACACTGCTTACAACAGATGCTGAATCCCAAGGCCACCAGTCCTTCAAAAGCAATATTTAGGCATTGCTTATTGACAATAACTCATCCTGCTCTACACTACCATTGCACTCAACAATCCCCAAGAATGAACATAAGACTAGACCTTGGTGAGCAAGTTCACACAGAAAAGTTCAATCAACTGGCTGTATTCCTGTTCACAGGCAGAAAGGAACTGTCCCAAGGGTTCCAAGCTCTCATACACATTAGACATTCAGGTCTTCAGGAACAGACAGGTACACACCAAGATGTACATGAATGCTGGAACCAAACCACCCTGCTGCTGCACCTGCAGCTCTAACAACTGGCTGGTTGTCATCCTTCTGGATGCTTGGTCCTGTTCATCTCTGGGAGAACTGCAGATAAGGAGTGAATAACACACATACAAAGAAAGCTTGTAAGCTGCAGAAATTCTCTTACTTGTAGTGTGTTTGTATCCCATACTTTCAAGGTTTTATCAAATGAGCTGGATGTAAACATGCCCGTGTCATGAGGATACCACTGGACTGTCTCCACACTGAACGCATGTACATCAGGATGGCTCCTAAGATCAGGGAAACGATTCCAATCAGTTAGAGTCCTGATAATCATCTTATAATTGTCTTGATATTTGATGCCAGCTTGCAAACAGCTTAAACAATTATCTTTAATTTGCCCTGAAGTTTTCAAGAACTAGTTTTCTGGTGTCTCAATTTTCAATCAACCAATATTCATCACTTTGAAGAGTCCTCATTTCAAGAAACTGCAGACCATTACCTTTCCAAAATATGGAATCTGTAGCATAATTCAAGTCAAGACACTCAGTCTGAAGCATAAAAGTCTTCCGAAATGTTTAAATTGTAATGTTTCAAAATGTAACGTTAAACATGACTCTTAACACTACAAACCATTTTTGCTTCTGGCAACCCCCTGAGCTAGAAATGGAACCACTAAGAAATATGATCACATATATAGTTCAAAAAATTCATTATTATTAGTGAATAGTTACAGCTACAGAGTTATTGGCAATTCATGTATGCTGAAGTGACCAGATAGCAGCAGACTAAATACCAAGAGTCAGTGACATTTGTATTCAGAAATGAAAGAGGAAGAACAGCAGTAAACTTTCAGTTAAACTATGGATAGTTAAAGAATGCAATCTAATTAATAATACATTAGCTGTGGTGGGAAGAAGGGACAGCAGAGCCAATACTGATAGCTCCAGGATACTGACTGAACTGACCAGGCTCTGAACCATGCATGTCATTTCTTATACCTGCTAGACCACTCATATCCAAACTAGATACATATGGATTCAGCTTCAGAGCCCCAGCCCAGACTTAGAATTACCACGGTGTTGTGGGTTAACCATAGGCAGATACACACCACCGTTGCTGTTTGCTCATTCTCCCCCCTGCAGTGGGATGAGGGAAGAGAATCCAAATGGTGAAGGTGAGAAAAGCTGCAGGTTGAGACAAACACATTTTAATAAGGGAGCAAAGTAAAACAACCCTCCCCCACAGGAGAAAGAAAGAACTCCCCAAAGAAAGAAACAGGTGATGCAAAAGCAATCCCTCATCGTAGGCTGACTGATGCCCATTCAGATCTCAAGCAATGGAAACCCCTGGAATGCCACCCCCCCCACTTCCCCCCAGTTTTATTGCTGCACATGACATTGTGTGATATGGAATATCAATGCCTCTCCGGTCAGTTTGGGTCAGGTGTCCCAGCCGTGTTTCCTCACCAACTGCTGTCCACTCCCAGTCTCCCTACTGAGGGAGCAATGAGAAATGGTGAATGCCTTGACACTACCAAACACTGTTCAGCTACAGCTAAAACATCAGCATGCTATCAAGGCTGGTCACAAGTCCAGAACATAGTACCATACAAACTATTGTGAAGAAAATTAACTCCATCCCAGCCAAATATAGTACATACGAGAAAACACTTTGACCGGCTCCAACTGCAGCTAGTGAAGGGCTCACAAGATTTTTTCACTTCAGCTCTTTGCATTATGCTCTCAAGTGTCCTGCCTCCAAAGCAGTAGCTACTGAATTTACATTGTGGAAACTCAATGCTACAATCTTTGTAAACTCAGGCTACAATGTTTATATCATATAAACACAGTGGTAGATCTTCCTTATAGATCTGACACTACACCTGAGCTAATAAACCTTCCTGCTCACTTGGGCTGCTAGAGAGCATAGAAGACATCATTAAATACAGTTAGCCTGAAGCCAGCACTGACAGTACTAAGCAAGAGCCATTGAGTAACTGTGGAGCTTAGTTAAATGACTCCAGCATTGTTTATCTCTGAGGCATATCCTAGGCTAGCCTGTTAATCTGGCACAGTGCATTTATTCTACAGGAAGCTGTGCTGGGTTTGGCTGCAATAGAGTTAATTTTCCTCACAGTGGCCAGTATGGGATACGCTTTGCATTTGTGCTGAACACAGGGTTGACAACTTGGTGATGCTTCTGCTATTCCTGAGCAGAGCTTACACAGAGCCAAGAAGGCCTTTTCTGCTTTCTGCACTGCCACGCTGGTGAGGGGCTGGAGGTGCATGGCAGGTTGGGAGGAGACACAGCTGGGACAGGTGACCCATATTGACCAAAGGGATATTCCATACCACAGGACCTCATGCTCAGTATTTAAAGAAGGAGGAAGAAGGAAGAGATCTTCCCAAGGAACTGTTACGCGTGATGGGGTTCTGCTCTCATGGAGTTGGCTGAACACCTCCTGCCCATGGGAGGCAGTGAATTAATTCCTTGTTTTGCTTTTCTTCTGTGTGCAGCTTTTGCTTTCCCCATTAAACTGTCCTTATCCCAACCCATGAGTTTTCGAGCTTTTACCCTTCCCATTCTCTTCCTGATCCCACTGGTGGGGGAGTGAGTGAGGGGCTGCATGGGGCTTGGCTGCTGGCTGCAGTTAAACTGTAGCAGAGGTCAAGCTAAAAATCTTCAGTACCTGCAGAGCAAGGAAATCAAGCCTGACTCAGAGTGAACTTCCTCCTGGAGAGGAATTTGTATGCAATGTGCAGAAAAATCTAAACCCATGGAACTAATTATCTTGGTACAGTAACTGTAAGTGCACAACACTGGACTGTGTTCAACACTGAAGCAGAACAATCAATTCTCCCATAATCCAGAGGGCTGAGGAATGAACTACAAAACTCTTGAACAGCTCTGCAGGAATCACCTTTGATCTGGCTAAGCTTAGTAGTGGCTACATGCCATTCAGCATAGTTTCATGTCTCAGGGCTGTACACTATTCCCAGTTCATTCCACATGCTGGATTTCCACCCATTACTCAGGCTATCCCAACATTTTCTGCCAAAGACAAAATTAATTATGTGGATAGTTAGGTCACTGTCATTCATTCTTCCTAGACAGATTTTGAGTAGAAGAGACCACCTTACAAATAAGCATAATCTGTCTATTACGTAGAAGTTGGTACTGTTTGGTTACTCTCAAATGCAGTTTTGCCACAGGACAGCATGAATCATATGAAACCAGGTAAAACTCTCTGTGCTGACTCCCAGTGGAAATTTTATTTTTTTTCAATACATTCTAGATAAGAAACACTGGGGAAATCACAGCCTGCCATTAGGAATTATCTCTTCTGGTGTTCTAAACTACTGGACCCTCAGCAAGACCAGTACAGAGTCTATTCAGAAACAGCTTCAAAGTGCCTCTAACAAGAGCTTATTCTTCGAGCAACTTTGAGACCAGAGTTGTGTTGTGCCCTGCAGACTTGAAAGACAGGCAAATTTTTGCAACACGTCAGTACTATATGCTTCAAAGATAGAAGTCATTTAGTCAGATGGGAAGTGTTTCTTACTGGCAATCACAAACTGATTTATGATGTCAGGAACTCTGCGAGAATAATATTCCAAGTATCTGAAGGTATGATCTGTGGCTAATTGGTTACAGTAAGTACTTAAAATATAGTAGGAAGCTACATGAACACTAGGAATAAATAACTGAGGCAACAAACCCACTAAGGTTATTTAAGCCATAACAATCATAAGCCTATCATTAGAACATGTTACACAAAATCTGATTCTACTAGTACAATTTATGCCTCAACTGATACGAAATAAAAGATGCATTTCTGCAAATTAACACCTACTTATGAACCACAGAATATTCAGAGCTAGAAGGGACCCAACAAGGATCACCTAGTCCAACTCCTGGCCCTGCACAGGACAGATGCCAGGATCACATCATGTGCCTGAGAGCATTGACCAAAAACTCCTTGAGCTCTGTCAGGCTTGAGGCTGTGGCCACTGCCTTGGGCAGCTGTTCCTGTGCCCAAACACCCTCTGGGGGAAGAACCTTTTCCAAATATCCAACCTAAACCACCCCTGACACAACTTCAGGCCATTCCCTTGGGTCCTGTCACTGGCTGCCAGGGAGAAAAGAAAGAAACAGGCTACCAACTAACCATGCTCATAAACAGAATCTTGGAAGTATGGAATATTTCTACTGACCTAACTGAAGTCAGTGATGACATGATTTTAGCACAGATTTGACAGCTTTTATGTTTTCTCTTCCTAGCATGTATTTTTTCAGTTTGCTGTATCTGTTTCAGAATTCATTTCAGTTTTGAGGTTTGAGGATGTATAAGCACTACATGTTCTTAATTACAATGTAAAATCATTTTATGCAGGAAGTCTTGGCCACCAACACTTGCCAAATGCAGCTGACTTGAGTACATTCTTTTCTTACCCTTTGGTTTCAATGTGTGTTCTATTAGTCTTTTCCTTTCTCACAGTCCAAGATACCATTAAGGCTTTTTACTGTTACAAATCTATTCTGCTCTTGTAAATCTGACTCACAAAGCCCTTAGACATCAAATAACTTGTAGACTAGGAAAAAAATACAGGGAAAATGTAGCTACTAATCTTTTACACAGTAGGATGTATCTTACTGTGAGTCTCAGATGAAGTTCTAACCTACCAGATAACCTTACTACCCACATAAAAGGGAAAAAACAACTTTTGCTAGGAGACTTAATGCCCATAATAGACAAATTTACACTGCCTGCAGGGAAAGACCGACAAATCAATAAAGGCTTTGACTTTTTGTATAGATTACACACAGCATGGTACTACTCTGCTCTTTAGAAAAATATGTCCAATTTGTTCAGTAACACATCTATCTTCATTCAAACATGTTCTCAAGAAGCTCTGTATAAATTACTTCTGTAGCTGGTAAACACCTGATGAACTCAACACAACTACTAGTACAGCTGAGAGCAGGGAAAGGGGAAATAAAACCAACAACCACAAACCTGTATTAGATTTTTTTTCCCCAAATGATGAACAGGATTATGCAGATAATTTGCCTTCTCCTTAAAAGGATATTTATTCAAATATGCATACATGTATTTGGGGGATACAAGGAATATTCCTACAGCCGTACCAAAATGTCTCTCATAGTCATTGGAATGGAGTCACCAAATTTCAACATTAAACAATAAGAAAACTTACAGGTGAGGAACTGAGAGCTAGAAGAGGGTTTGGGTTTTTTCACCTGTCTTTTTTGCTAGTGTTTAAACATGGGATTAGAGTACTAGCTCTGGCCTTTTTTTGTGGGGTCTACAGCAACATAACAGTCTCTAACTTTACTTTCCATATGAGTACAATTAATGCCCTCCATTTTAACTTTTGAACTGCCATGGATCTGTTCAAACAATACCAGAGAGTCATGGTGCATGTATGTACAGTGCATATATTTCCACAGTCTTTTTATCCTAGAAATAAGAACACAGATTAATTTCTGTTAAACATCTAGTTTAATGCTAGCCACACAAAAGCTATACTATGAACTTTTCATAGAATTTTGTAATACTTACCTTCCTACTGAACAAAGTGCTTTACATGTGTAGCTTGGCTGCCTGGTCAAGTTTTCAAGGTCATAAAGTACAATAACTCCATCTGATCCACCGGATAACATGCTGAAAGTGTTAATAAAGCAGAAAAGTTATAACACTTGTGATCTCAACATGCTCAACATAACTGAGTGTTCAGCAAGAAAACAAATCCATAGTACCAAAACACCAGTACGTAAGATGTATTCATACACATTTTTACCAAGTAATATATATACTTACTATCTTCCCTCAACAGGCTCAATATCAAGGGTGTTGACACCACTCCCATGTATTCTTTCCACATCTCTATCTTTATTTAATTCCAAACTTAGAACCCTAAAAAAAACAACAACCAAAGAAAAGCAGAGATATGAACAAGAAAAGAATTGTAGAACATTACTATGTAGCTCTGAACAGCTAAAACCTTAGTTTTGTGCTTCTTCAATGCATTCAACTCATCCCTGCCATTTTCTTTTGCAAAACTACACAATACAGGGATGGAAATAAGTCTTGTGGAGCTGGCATAAAAAATACTGTGCTGCTTGGAAGGTAAGAGAGAGATAAATATGTAAAATAGCCTCAAAGAAATAGCAAAACTGCTTTTGGGGTCAGCACATGAAACAAAAACCAGAATGTGATTAAAAAACCCTGGGCAAAAGAAACAGTAAGAAGCATTGTAGTCACAACGAATACTAGTTACTTTGAAGCTTCATTATGTAATGTCCTTCAGGCTTCATCCTACTTGGAACTACAGACACCTAGTGGACAAATAAATTTAGCCTACCAAGTTTACAGTATGCCCTTTTATGAAGCAAAGTTTGTGTGCTATGTTTTCTGCAATGTTAAACAACATCTAGGCCACACATGATGAAGCTTCCAAGACCAGCTTTTCTGAACTGCAATTAGTATCCTTACATGTACTAATATGACATAGTCAAAAAGGAGAGACTCTGCTTCCTTAAACCATACTGATATAAAATTAGCTTTACAAGATGATCTGAGCTTCCTGCAGCACCATTTTGTAAAAAACACAACAAAAATGTAACCAAGTAGGTAAGTGAAAAGCTGTGAGTGTCCCCACTCAGCCTTGGCTCCAGTGGCAAAAATCCTAATGTGAGAACCTTAGGCTCCTACAGGCAGATCCCCAACAACACGTGTAGATACGCCTTGAAAGCAGGAAGTCATTTAAGCTCTTTTAAAAGATGTAAAGTATAACCATGCAAGAATTCACCTAGAATAGAAATTCTGACATACACAAGATGTCTAGTTCAAAAACTTTTTGAGCTCCAGACTGAATTTTGGTAAAACAGTATATCCCTCTGCAAAAATGCCTTAAAACATATGACTTTAAAATGCAGTTATAAATAAAATCTATTAAAGACTACAGATTTTTTAAAATCAAAATTAAAGGGTTTAAGAAGGGAAATGTTAGGTAGACAGTGGTCCAAGTAATGCAAACACTGCCCAGTGACCTACCGTTCTTAACCCTGAATGCTACACGAGTGCTGGGGGCACAGCAAGGACATAACTGTGTTGTCAAAACGTACACAGAAAGGAGCTTCTGGAACCACTAAAATTCATTTAAATTTTAAACATTATTTTTACAATAATACAGCCATAAATCACCAACACAAATCCTCCTGATGTAGCTGTGTGAGTGACTGAACCGAGGAAAGTTTTCTTGGATTTATCCTGAAATACAGCCTCAAAACTGATTCTCTGATGCTGAACAAATGTTATCACATTATAGCCTTTAGCAGGGATATTAATAGGCCTCTCTAGGCAGTCACCACTTCCCACAAAAGCACTTGGGATCCTAATGACAGAGTCACAGAATCAATCAGGTTGGAAAAGATTTCTGAGGTCATCAAGTAAAACCTAGGTCAACTAGATCATGGCACAAAGTGCCACATCCAGTCTCTCCTTAAACACCTGGACAACACCTCCCTGGGCAGTCCATTTCAGTGTCTAATCACCCCTTCCGTGAAGAAATTCCTTATTTTCTAACCAAAAGGTCCCCTGGCACAGCTTGAGACTATGTCCTATTGTCCTGTCACTAGCTGCCTGGGAGAAGAGACTGAACCCCCAAACCCAGGCTGGCTACAATCTCTTGTCAGGTAGTTGTAGAGTGATAAGGTTAGCCCTGAGCCTCCTCCAGGCTAAATAACCTGTTCCCTTAGCTGCTGCTCATAGGACTTGTGCTCTAGACCCTTCACCAGCTTTGTTGCCTTTCTCTGGACTCACTCCAACACTTTTACATTTGACTTGAAGTGAAGGGCCCAGAACTGGACAAAGTACTCAAGGTGTGACCTCACCAATGCCAAGAATAGGGTGAGAATCACTTCTCTAGTCCTGCTGGCCATGAGATTGCTGATACAAACCAGAATGTCATTGGCCTTCTTGGCCACCTGGGCACACTGCTGGCTCATGTTCAGGTGCTGTCGACCAACACCCCCAGGTCCTTTTCTGCTGGGCCAGTTTCCAGTCACACTGTCCCTAAGTTTTAACACTGCATGGGGTTGTTGTGGCCAAAGTGCGGGACCTGCACTTGGCCTTGCTGAACTTCATAAAAGCTATGCACCTGATTCTTCTGCAGCATGTCAGCAGGCCAGGTCTGTCAAGAGGAAGGACGTGCAGGTGTAGGCACAGAGGCATCACAAACATCGTGTTCCTTCATGCACACGGAGCACAGGCGCATGCAAACTGAGCCAAATGGCGAAACCGAGTGGGCAGCAAGGGCAGCGAGGCACAGCTCACTGC